TCTGGAAATTAAATATTTAACTACAAACTGGTTATAGTGGGTAGTCATGTCCTAGGCCAGTATTTTCCCTGACATCAACTTAGACCTTCACTGAGCCCATTTATCTTTTTGCCTCTAAGATAACATATCTGTCAAATGTCTGGGTAACTTGTAACTTTCCTTCCCCGCCCTGGACCTCTCAGGGCACAACAAATGGCACCAGGACATTCCCTCATTGTTATCAAGTTAATCATCAGCAACTTTTAGTTATGTTAAACTAGCCTGTATCCATCTGTGTAAAAGAAGCATCTGTCCATCATTTCACTTTTTATTCCATCCCAGAGGTCTCTCCCCCTCTCCTTTGCTTTATCCCACCTCCTTAATCTGTTACCAATGAATTTCACGTAACCCACCTACGTATTTTCCTTTTGATGGTAAATTTATAAAAGCAAGGTATGAACGCCCCATTCTCCAGAGCATTATCTCAATTCGTTGATGTTCTGCTTCCTGGCGTATGTCGACAGTTTGGCTCAAATAAACTCACAAAAATTCGTTACAGGTTTCAATTTTTTTTTATGTTAACAAAAATAATGATATGATCTTAGGAAATTCTTGAACTCTTAGACTTCTAATCTCATTTGTTTCATTTAGTCTCATAGGCCATAGTTTTTGAAACTGTAGAGACCGGACTAAAGTGTGGGCCATGTTGGGGACTGCAATGTCTCTAAGATCAAAAATACCAACACTTGAATCTAGAAAGTGAAAAGTGGAATGGGAAAAGATATGGTTATGACTTAGGAACCACCTCAATGCTCCCTCCCTTCCTTCCTTCCAAGACAGTGTTCAACAGAAAACCTTGACATAAACCACGAATTACACCTGTGTTGTAGCTTCCTCATGGAGTCAGGTGCGAAGGAGGGAGGTCAGAGGATCCAGTCTGGAACGCTCTCTTGAACAGGGCCTTATGGAGTTCTACCCTGATGTCTTAAATTGTAAAGAAAATTTGCTCCTTTTGACTACACAAAGCCTGTGCTCACCCTCTGACAAGTCAGAAGATAATACAACACTTACTACCCCTACCAAGTGCTAAGCCACTGAATATAAATGCTTTATTTCTTGCCTCTCACTACACCTCTATTGCCAGGAACAAATTTTCCCCAGAAAGAACCTGGCTTTGACTAAATTTCAGCTGCTTCCACTTCCACACGATAAAGCTGCTAATTACCTGAGAAAAGACTCCTGAGTTGCAGAGCAGAGGGAAGCATACTCGGGCCAATTAGCAATAATTCTGTTTCTATTAAATCTTATAGTTATTATATCACTACTGCACAAAACCAGACTTGGTTCTAGTTTATGTCTCTGCACCATTAATTAACTTTTTGACAATAATCAAGTTACTTGATCCCTTTTAGCTTTATTTCTCAAAGATAAAATGGAGATAATAGTAAGATGTTCTCATCTAGGTAAAATGTTGGAGTATTCCAGCCCTGTTTAGATGGATGACTCTACTTAAATTTTTGTTATTCTGCCTTTAAAATAAGTTTTGTTTTCACTTCCTGCTAAGAATCAGCCTAGAGGCTGTTTCAGGAAGAGAAATTAAGCTGTGGTGGCAAGAAACAAGTTACACTATGAGTAAAAGCCAACCTTACCCATGTGGACTGGATGCAACCACAAAAAACAAAGTCACTGTGCAGAAATTTGCAAGGATTACGGCCACTTATGTGCTTCTTATGATTTTCACAAGTGTAAGATTTTCATTCAAATAACTTTTCCCATGACAAAATTTTGCTGAGCCCATCAATCCACACCCACCCACCCCTAGTATTTCTGTGAGTTGAGAGCTTTTGCAAGTTCAGAAAAACTGGTCTGACTTCCACAAACCTTGATCACAGAGTGAAGGTTACTTATTGTCTGGATGGTGCGGGAGGAACTGTAGTCACGAGAGTGGAAGCTTCCAGCTGAAAAATAGTATTGCATTGTAAAATGTTCTTCAAACTGTCCATTTTACTCACAGCAACATTTCCTTACCAGCACTCCAATATGCCACCTCTCATTGGTTATTACAAGGAAAATATCACCACTATTTTCATCATCAATTCCTCAGAATATTGAGGGACAGAGCTATATTACTCACAGTAAAGTTCTTAGGGAAATTCTGGGTTATGTTGTTATAAAGGAGGTTATTATTATTTTTGGGGGGCATATCTGTCCAATGTTGAAAGAATTGATAGTGCGCAGATAGTCAGCATATTCATAGGTAGATTTGCCATAAGTTAAAATAGTTTAGGGGAAAAGATGACAAAACAGAGGTACAGAAAACATTCTACACGTTAGGATTCCACAGCCGTGAACTTTTGGTAACATGCCGTTGCTACTGCCGAGAGCATGGAGTTGGTGAAAGGATTCTCCTCTATTTCATCTTGGTGATTATCTTTATAATTTCTTATATGAAAAACATATAAGATACACTTGTAGGAGAATCACTAAGAATAGAAATAGTGTGTAAAAATTACAAATGACGAGAAGAGGGAAATGAAAAAAAGAAAAAATCGCAAACAATATAAAAAACTTAATTTAAAAAGTCAAGGAAATTTAAAACACCTATCAGTAACCAATAATTGAGATATTATAAATCCAGATTTATGGGTTTGGCTAAAATAGTACTTAGGATAACAAAGAAACTCTTATATTAAAAGTGAATACAGGCTAAAATTGATCACCTAAGCATGAAACTTAAAATTAGAAAAAGGATAGAAAAAAATCCAAAGAAAGAAGAAGGAAGATAATAAAGATAAGAGCAAAATAATGAAAATATAAAACCCAAGATACAATATATGTAATCTGCAGTTTAAAGTTGGTTTTTTGAAAAGACTAATAGCATTGACAAACTTCTGGTGAAATTTATGATAAATATAAGTGCAGAAATATTAAGTACAAAACACTAACAAGTCAAATCCATCAGCCCTGAAAAATTTCTAATAAATCATGATAAAATTAGATTTACTCAGAAATGTAAGGTTTTTTTAAATAGCAGATACTCTATAAATATAATTAGCCACATTAATAGATTTAAGGAGAAAAAGTATCTTCTCAATTTTTAGAGAAAAAGCATTCAGTGAAATGATTTAGCAAACTGAGAAAGCATCATTTCCTAAAAAAATGTCTCTTCCAAAATCCTACAAAAAATAGTCATATATGTATTGAAAAGGAAGAAATAAAGCTTTATAACAATTAAAGATAATATGAATGTCTACCAAAAAGATATGAGAATCTGCAATTAAATAATCTGAAAAACATTTTAAGTATTCTATATAATAAAAGGCTAATATGCAAATCAACCTAACAGTGGAACAACCGGTCGCTATGATGCACACTGACCACCAGGGGACAGACACTCAATGCAGGAGCTGCCCCCGGTGGTCAGTGTGCTCCCACAGGGGGAGCACCGCTCAGCTAAAAGCCTGGCTCACGGGAGCACAGTGGAAGTGGCGGAGTCTCTCCTGCATCTGCAGCAGCACTAAGGATGTCGGATGGCAATAAGCCATCAGTCAGATATCCCTTGAGGGCTGCCAGACTGCAAGAGGGTGCAGGATTGAAGGGACCCCCCACCCCCCAGGGCACGAATTTCATGCACTGAGCCTCTAGTCTGGATATAAAATAATTGCTCCCTAAATCAACTGCATTTCCATTACACCATAAGCAGACATTTAGAAATTACAAATTTTAAATTACCATTTGAATTAGCAAAGATCACACACACACACACACACACACACACCTCTAAGAAGAAATCCCATAAGATCTGTCCAAGACATATATGGAGAAAACTATGCAACTTATGAATGCTATGAAAGGAACACCAAAAAATTGATTAGATTTACCAAATTTATGGTTTGAAAAACTCAATGACATAAAGATACAAATCCTCCCCAAATTAATTTACATATTAATGTTATTCTAATTCAAAGCCCAACAAATATTTTTAAATGAGCAGAAACACAAGAATAACTATGATACTCCTGAAGATGGGTAAGTTAGAGAGACAGGCACTACCAACCATAAGTTAAGATGTCCTGTAAAGCCTGTCAACAAAAGGTCACTGCCACCAGCCCAGTGCCTGTAGGGAGCAGCTATGGGGTTAAGCCTCGGACTGACCTGTTGGCAAAGCCACAAACAAGTCCCAGCTTAGAGGGCACAGCCCTTTTAGCATAATTAGGCTTGACCTTATGATGCTCCCTAGATCTTATCTGGGTAGCTAATGGGCTGTGGGGTGAGGGGGGTGGGGGGAGGGTGGTGAGGGGTGGGTGGGGTGGAAGGGAGGGATGCAGCAAATGCTGCCAAAACAAGTGAAACTCACAAGACCATTGTAACTATGGTGACCACTACCTTGTTTACCTCTGGCTATAAAATAAAGGCTCAGCTTGCTGTCTGGATCTCTCTCTGTGGCCTTAGCCAGGCACAGGAGATCCACCTAGACCCAGCTTGTTCTCTTTGTCTGTCTTTTCTACATCCTTCACTGCCTCCCCCCCTCCCCTCCCCTAGACTCACCGAACCCTTGGCTGTGCTGGCACGGCACAAGCCAAAAGGAGTCCCCAACTTAGGGCGCAGTAAAAGGAGAGACTTTGTTCAGGCAGGTAAACAGTTTGCAAACCCAGGAGGCAGCAGCCTCTGGTGTAAACTTTAAGTACCTCCCCTTAGAAAACAAGGAGGCCCACTTACATAAAGTGCCCACCCTGGTGGACTTTTGGAGGGCTCAGCCAGGCTTAGAACCAATTTTAAAAATGGGGATTTGCCGTATCCTAGCCCCAAGAAACATAATTAGTAGAAGGAGAATATAATCAGAATAGAATGTCAATAAAACATTAGACCTTCCCTTGGATTCTTAGAGATTCGCCCCAAGCCCAGACTTTCTAAGTAGGGAAGGTGGGCTAAGAAGTTGGAGAAAGGGGAGAGCGTGCTTCAAGAACTCTGGATGCATTTCCCAGAAAAGGAACATGATGAACATGGTCGGGAGGAGTAACTTCCTTCCTCTTTTCTAATCGTGGCTCAAGATCTCTCAGCAGAGTCTTTTCAGTGTCTTACATGTTACAGTTTTCACTGCTCCCACCACCTTGGGGATAACATGTGGCTCTTAACAGCTCTGCTCCTTTGGGGTAAGTTGGGCATAGAGAGGGTAACTAGAAGGGTATAGGCACTGGCTAAGGGAACTTGGGATTTATGTTAAAATAAACTTTTATTGATTTCAGAGAGGAAGGGAGAGGGAGAGAGATAGAAACATCAATGATGAGAGAGAATCATTGATCGGCTGCCCCCACAGGGGATTGAGTCCGCAACCCAGGCACGTGCCCTTGACCAGAATCGAACCTGCGACTCATCAGTCTGCAGGCCGACATTCTACCCACTGACCCAAACCAGCTAGGGCGGGACTCGGGATTTTTTTTTTTTTTTTTTTTTTTTTTTTACTTTCTTTAGTATCTCAGCTAGAACTCATGAATATGGAGACGGCTATGTCTGTGCTTCCATGGTTTATTGGTGTTCATTATATCCAAAGGATGGGAAGAGAGACCCTGGGGTAACATTAAGCCTGGCAGCATCGTTTCAGAATAAAGCCCCATCAATAACCACCTGTTGACTCTTCGGTACCATTGGTACCTGATTTTGGGAAAGGAAGTAGAGAGAAACTAAAGAAACCTAAGCTGGCCCCTTAGAGTCTATATTAATTCTGTCTCTCTAATTCTCCCTTCCTTGCCATCTCCCGCTGGTGAGCTGATGACATCTCTATTGTTTGGTCTCTTACAGTTCCAGCTTGTGGGCAAACAAGTGAGTAATGTCTAACTCAACTTCTCTTCCTCTGGCACATTTCTGCTTCCAAAAGATAGGTTTCATTATCCTAAAGAAGAGAGTAGGGAGAGAGGATAGAAAGGAGAAAGATTTATAAATTATATGAAGTCCCCAACATTCAGAGTATGATTTTGATAAAATCCTGGTTTGTAAGGTTTCTCACTAAGATTTTCTAAGTGAGCCCTGACCTCTGGACTAAGTGCCTAAATAGCAGGAAATGGCCAAAATTGCAAACATACAGAAGTAGTTCTGCTGGGTTTTGCAATTTCCCCCAAACTAGTCCCTTTTATGAGAAAGCGAAGGTGTTTTTTTTCTTCTCAGAGAGAATCAGGCAGGCACTAAGAGGCTTTGAAGTGGGGAGTGTGAAACTTATTTCCAATATAGATGCTAATCAAGGCTTGAAATGAACCCTCAGAGACAATATAGCAAATCGGCTCCAATTGAGTTGCACCAGTTTAAAACCCTGTTTTACTGTTTACCAACAGTGATAACTAAATTGGTCATTTAATTCTCAGGAACCCAAATCAGCAACCCCCAGGTTTAATAACGACAGATCCCTCTGCAGCTAGCTCTGGACATTCTTAATGGCTCGCTTTTGTAGGGTTTCACTTGCCCGTTTTACAATCTAATCTAAATATACATCGTTTTCCTTTCGCGAGCCAGAAAACCTCGCCTGGTGTTCAGAGCCTTTCCTTTTACTCCATTTGTTTGCGATTTTGTTCCCCCCACAGACACTGCAAAGTCCGTGATCACTTTGCAGCCTCCGTGGGTCAGTGTATTCCCGGAGGAAAGTGTCACCTTACGGTGTGAGGTATCCCACCTGCCCTGGGACAACGGTACACGGTGGTTTCTCAACGGCACGGCCATTGAGACCCTGACTGCCAGCTACGTCATCGCTGCTGCCGGCGTCAATGATAATGGTGAATACAGGTGCCAGAGAGGCCTCTCAGTGCCAAGTGACCCGGTCCACCTGGAAGTCCGCAGAGGTAAGTAGGGCATGGAGCAGGAGCGCTGGAAATTATGTCTTCCTTTGTGTGTTCTCCTTTTGGGATGTCAGGTGTGTGTGTGTGTGTGTGTGTGTGTGTGTGTATGTGTGTGCGTGCGTGCGCGTGCGTGTGTCTGTGTGCGTGCGTGTGTGTATGTGTGTGTGTGTGTGTGTGTGTGTGTGTGTGATTGGGTTGGTTTATCTGAATATGAGTCTCAGCTCTATGAGCCTATCAGGTGCAATAAAGTCAAGATAATGAAAAGATCACCTTAGAGTTCTTTACCTGTGTCCCCAAAGCACCCCGACTGGGGCAGGTGTGAGTAGGGTATCTAGAGTAAAATTCACCCTATGATTTTATCATTCAAAATTATCTAGTTTTCTTGAAAAAATGTTATACCTGCCCATAGCAAATGATACCAATTTGGAGAAATGTACAAGGACGAACAATAAAGTCTCCCTTCCACCCCAAACTCCTAGTCCAGCAGTCAACTTCCACAGAAACAAAATTGTTAATAATATAAACTTAAAAGAAAGTGGTTGGTAGAATGCTCTATAGACTATTCTACACCTTACTTTTATTGCTTAAAATACTGTGAAGGTCTGTTTGTATTAAGACATCTACCTCATACTTTTAAATGTCTGCCACAAGGCTGTGCTATAATTGATTGAACCATTTTCCCTAAACTTCTAGTGTGTTTCCATTCTTTGCTTTTACAAGCAATACTGCGGTAAACATCTTTATACAGATCATCTGGGGCATAATAAGATAATATCTTGGACATGGAATTACTGAGAGACTTTAATCATTATTTATTTATTTATTTTTACTGCTTGATGAATAGAAGCAGATAAAACCCTACCTTCCGCTTTAAATCTGTAAGAAGTTTCTACTTGTCAGGAGATGGAGACTGCAATACTCCAGAGGGCAAAATGTTTCATTACTCAGGATAAACCGTTCAGATGGGTTAGTTATTCAAAAGCATTAAGCTAAAACTTCTGTGTGATTGATAATTCAAAGCAAACCCATGCTGGTGGCAGAATTAGATTTCTGTGGACTGGTCTGCTTTTGGAGGAAATGTGGTTTAGCTAAGGAAATGTTGAGAATGTCAGAGGAAAAGCTCACTGTTTCTCAAGTCTCTTCGGACTCTAGGAATCGGTTCCTATACTGGAGAGGTGAGGGGAGCTGGCAGCTGCTTAAACAAGAGACTTCGAGTAGTTCCAGCAGAAGCAGAAGTGCTTCTTAGTTCAGGTGACAAAAAACGAACTAGGGCTGAGTAGAGGTCATTTTCTTTGCCTCTCCAATCCCCCCAGTGTTGGTGACTTACTGAGAATGGAATATCCATTCTCAGAGTGGATTCCAGGAACTGCTGTAGATGGGGCCTGCTTAGCCAGCAGGAACACAGCGCAGGAAGCTGGCACCCAGTCTGCGGCTTTCCCCTGAAAGGCAAAGTGTATGAGAGGCCCCCGTTCAGCAATGGCTGTTAGACCATGATTATGAATTGGAGCCCAGTTAACCCCAAAGAGTTTTCCGTGGCAGGTATTTTGCATTTTTATATGATATTTTAATGTGAATTCTAATATACAACAAACCTTAGTGAATACCTTAGTGTATACCTTAGTGAATACCTTAGTGTATACCTTAGTGTATACCTTAGTGAATACCTTAGTGTATACCTTAGTGTATACCTTAGTGAATACCTTAGTGTATACCTTAGTGTATACCTTAGTGAATACCTTAGTGTATACCTTAGTGAATACCTTAGTGTATACCTTAGTGTATACCTTAGTGTATACCTTAGTGAATACCTTAGTGTATACCTTAGTGTATACCTTAGTGTATACCTTAGTGAATACCTTAGTGTATACCTTAGTGAATACCTTAGTGTATACCTTAGTGTATACCTTAGTGAATTTTCACAAAGTAAACTGCACCCAGATAAGTGTTTTCAGAATCACAGAAACTCCCTCTAGTTCATTTCTAGCTTCTAACACCACAGGTTTTCACCTGTTTTTGTTTGTTTTTTAACTTCATAGAAATGGGTATAGTATGTATGCTTTGTGTGTGGCTTCTTCTCCTTCTACTTTTTTTGTGTGTGCATCGTTCCCAGAGGTACTGCAATACCGGGATGATGTGTGGAGTGGACGGTTCAAGCTCCTATACCATCTCCCTACCCCAAAAATACATTTCATATAATGTCCTCAGATAGAGGACGTAACAGGTATTAAACCGGTAAGAACAGATACTACACTCGATCTTAGCCCAAAGGCCGAGAAGTGATGTGTCTGGCTTCTTTTACTCACGTTGATTGTAAGATTCATGAATGTTGTAAAGTTGCAGTTTGTTCTCATTTTTGTATAATGGTCCACATTTACCCATTTTCATGGACTTGGGCTGTTTCTAGTGTGGACCTCTTACAAATACTGTTAATGTGGACATTTTTGGTCCATTCTTTTGGTGCCCATATATACACATATTTGTTGGGATGTGCCTAGGAGTGGAATTGCTGGGTCACAGAATATGCAGCCTTACTTTACCAAGATAGTTAGGCCACGTCACACTCCCAGGGTGAGAGTTGTGGTTGTTCCTCAAGAGTAGGTGTTTTCTGTATTTTTCACTGGAGCCGTTCTGGTACATGTGCAGTGGTATCACACTATGATTTCAGCGTGCATTTCCCTGATGATTAATGATATTGAGCATTTTCCACATGTTTATTATTTATTTGGATATCTTCTTTTATAAAGTATCTGTCTAGTTTTTTTTTTTCCAATTAAAAAAAATGATGGTTGCCTGCCTTTTCCTTATTGACTTGTGGGAGCTCTTTATATATTCTGGCTATGAGCCCTTTTTCAAGTGTAGCAAATAACTTCCACTCTGTGGCCTGCCTTTTTGCTATGTCATCATGTTGTTTCCTGTTGCAATGAGCAAAGGTTTTTAATTTTACTACAGTACAACGCATCAAGTTTTTTTGGTTGATGTTCTCTATACCTTATTTAAAAATGTTTGCCACAATCAGTCAGCAATGGGAGATTTAATTGCAGTTATATTAGCTCTCAGTCACTTCAATTAAATCTGTGTGTGCTGAGACCAAGAGAGTACAGCTGGTTTGTGGCCCCAAGTCCTAATTCTGTGGTTTAAAATGAGCATTCCCATCCTACTGCAAAGTGATAAAAATAGGAAGAAGGTGTTTTTTATTTTTTTAAATATATATTTTTTTTATTGAGTTCAGAGAGGAAGGAAGAGGGAGATAGAAACATCAATGATGAGAGAGAATCATTGATGGGCTGCTTCCTGCATGCTCCACACTGGGGGTCAAACCTACAACCAGGGCTTGTGCCATGACTGGGAATTTAACTGTGACCTACTGGTTCACAGGTCAGCCTCAACCACTGAGCCATGCCAGTCAGGTGAGAGAAGGGTTTTTGAATAGAAATGTCTGCTAAAAGCTGCATCCCCCAATTTTTAATATGTAATAGTCTTGTTATCTTTTAAAGCTAAATATTTTAAATTTCATTTATAACTTTCTTTCTTTGATTCATGATTTATTTAGAAGTGTGTTTGGAGGGTGTTTTTGTTACTGATTCTACTTTTATAGTATTTTGGTCAGAATTTGTGTTAAATATATCAGCTCCCTGGTATTTGTTGAAAATCGCTTTGTAGCCTGATATGTGCTCAACTTGTATAACTGATGCACGTGTATTTGGGAAGTATGTGCATTTTCTCTAAGGTACAGCATTCTGTGTAAATCTATGAAGTTAAGTCTACTGATTTCATTCAAATCTTTTATATCATCACTAGTATTTTGTATCTTGGACAGTTCCTGGTGGAGGTTAAAATTCCCCACTGTTTGTGAATGTATAAAGCAAAGGTGCCTGTGTTTGGGTAGGGCAGTCTTTGAGCACCTCTTGGTTGAGAACAGGAATAGGGAGAAAAGAGTATTCGTTACGTTTGGAAGCAACTTATGGCGGCATCCGAGACTGAAAATCATGCTACACGTAGCACTGAGTGCCTGTCTTCCGTTCTTGGGTGAGTTCTAGAGGAGGGACAGGCACTACCGTCTCTTCTCCACTTTTGTCCTTGAAGAACCTCATTCTCACTTAGCCAAACCCACTGCCCAGGGAAGGAAAAAGTAAAGGAGGCATTTCTGGTTATGTGTAGAGGTATCCATCAAAAGTGAGCCCCCCCCCCCCAGCCCCCGCCAACCCTCCCCGCCCCCCCAAAAAGAAAAAAAAAGTGAGGGCCCATTTGACTTGGAGCTTGTTTTTATCAGCTATATCACTGATCTGCACATATGAGAATATTTCTATCAATTTAGAAGCATAAATACATCTGGATGTGTTTGCCATTTTGTGAGTTTGGTCTTAGCATGTATGATCCCATTAACAAATCAGTCAGGAATTAGTGTGTATAAGTTTTCTGTTGCTACATAACAAAAAACTTAGCTTAAAACACCATACATTAATGATCTTTCCATTGGAGAGGAGTCTGTACATCCTAGCTAGGTGTTCTCCTGAGGCTACCATTTGGTGTTAACTGGGCTGTGGGCCTTCCTGCGGTTCTTCCAAGCTCATATGGTCATTGGCAGAATGTACAGTGGGGCCTCGACTTACGAGTTTAATTCTGAGTTTAATTCGTTCTGAGACCGAGCTCGTTAACTCAAATTACTCTGTCAACTCAATGCAAAAAATCGGTGGAGAGACAGCTGGTATCTCAAAAAACTCGTTAGTTGGGACACTCGTAAGTCAAGGCCCCACTGTAGTTCCTTGTGGTTTTAAGACTGAAGTCCCTGCTCCCGCCCCCATTTTTTTTTGAGGGAGGGAGATAGATGATAGATAGATAGATATCTGAAGGCCCGCCTTTTTGCTGGCTGTTAGCTGGAGCTGCCCTGCCATATACCTCTCATAGGCCTTCTCACAACATGCCAGCTTACTTCTTCAAGGCCAGCAGGAGACTCTCTTTGTCCAGACAGCCGAGATGGAGTCTTAGATAATGTAACATCATCATGGGAGTGACAACCCATAACCTTTGTCATATTCTGGTTCTGGAAACAAGTTATACGTTCCACCCACTGTCGAGGGGATTATATAAGGGTGTGACTTGTTGGGGCCATCTTAGAACACTGCCTACCACGTAGGATAAACTGTTTCTGTCCCAACCAACTTCTAAGATCTGAAAAGGGGAGATAGCAGGGGCTGTGTACAGGGCTGCAGGTAAAGATTACTTTTCTTCCCAGCAAAGCTAAAGATATTTGAGGAAGAGGAGGTAGGCTTCTGATTCAGCAGGGCTGTAGGTTGGAATGTTCAAGGAGAAAAAGCAAGCTCTGGCTTCCTTGTACCTCTGTCACTGTATATGTACATGTTGGGTTCACATTTTCCAGATTGGCTACTACTCCAGGTCTCTAGCAGAGTCGTCGTTGAAGGAAAACCTCTGGCCTTGAGGTGTCATGGATGGAATAATAAGAAGGTGTACAATGTGGTTTTCTACCACAATAGCAAGAGCTTTCAGTTTTCTTATCAGAATTCTGAATTCACCATTCCGAAAACCAACCTGAGTCACAGTGGCATCTATCACTGCACGGGAAACAGGCACTTCACATCAGCAGGAGTATCTGTCACTGTGAAAGGTATGGTATCTGAATAATCACAGGTCTATAGTTTTAAGGACCAGTGAAACCATCATCAATCATCCCTGTAATTTGCAGGTGAAAAAACTGAGCTCCAGGGAGGTAAACTGCCTTACCTAGAGGCCACAAGACGACCAGTGGCTGGGTGGGGACCAGAACTGAGGTTTCCTGGGTTCCGGGCCATTGCTCTTTCCAGCATACCACGGTGCCGCTTTAATAATCCCAGGAGCTAATGTCAAGGCCAGGGCATAGCGAGGAACCATTTCATCAATTTTATTTTAGTTGTAAGGAATAGAGACTCACTCAAGGTAGGTAGAGAGTTATTAGAAAATCACCCATGGAATCTCATAAAAGCTCCATAAGAAACAGAGGCCAGGAAGACATTGGGACTTAGTTATACGTTCCATCTCTCTCTCAGGGAAAACGGCCTCTCTGGTTCCACTTCTTTCTGAACCTCTGCTAACTAATTAGCTTCCTGTTCCAGTTACCTGTGGCCTTTGTTGTGACTCTTTAACGGCCTTTCATCTCAGTACTCATAACCACTGTCTGAGAAAAAAAAAAAAAAAAGGGCAAGAAATTATTGTCCTCCGTGGTCGGCAAACCGCGGCTCGCAAGCCACATGCGGCTCTTTGGCCCCTTCAGTGTGGCCACGAAGTTTCACTCGCACTGTACGTGCGCGCCTGCCCATGGAATTTTGTGGAAGAGCCACACTCAAGGGGCCGCAGTTTGCCGACCACTGGTCTACATGATCATTTGAGACACTGAACTGGCTAGTGTGTGGGTGTGTCCACAATAAGTAACAGTCAGGGAAGCATGAATCATGTGGAGGATTTTCCCCAGTAGGATGTGAGCAAGCTGGTCGCTATATCTATGAGGAAACCCCAAAAATGCCTCTCTGCTGGGAGTGGGAAAAATTATGTTTGATGGATGCACTCTCCAGGGACTGGTTCCCAAAGGAGGGGGTGTATCTTCTGCAAAAAGAACCTTGAGTCCGAGTCAGGTAACTGTCAACATTTTCTTTAGAGCTATTTCCAGCCCCCGTGCTGAGAGCATCGTCTTCATCCCCCCTCCTAGAGGGAGATTCAGTCAGCCTGAGCTGTGAAACAAGGGTGCTCCCACACAGCCCTCTGGTGCAGCTCTATTTCTCCTTCTACATGGCAAATAAGACCTTGGTGGACAAGACCACGTCTTCTGACTACCAGATACTAACTGCGAACAGAGAAGATGCCGGGTCCTACTGGTGTGAGGCTGCCACAGAAGATGGAAATGTCATCAAGCACAGCCCTGAGTTGGAACTTCAAGTGCTTGGTGAGTGAGAACGATAGGAACTGACGGGCACAAAAGACGCTTCCTTTTCTCCTACAGGACTGAGGTCTGTTTCAGGGGATTCATGGCCCGGACAGGACAAACCTATGAACAGGCCTTTCCACCCTTGATTCAAAACTTCACTATTCTCCTTATAGAACATCATTGTATCCCCTCCCCTCCCCTCTCCTTCCCTTCCTGTTTATTTCCTTCTTTCTTTTCTCTCCTGTATTTTCTCTTTCTTTCTCTCTCTGCCTCCCTTTTCTCTCCCTCTCTTTCCCAGACAATCGAATCAGCAATATATAGAGTTCCTCCTATCTACTGCCACAGGTTTTGGAATACAGTTCTTACTTGAAGGAACTCACATGGTAGGTTGGCGGCTGGGGATTTTGTGGATTGCACATAAATTCCCAAATGTCTATATCTTTTGAGGTGAAGGGATTGTGAGCTCCAGAAGAAAAACTCCTTGGGGGCGGGGGGGGGGGGAATGTTTATCTTCAATCCAAATTCATTTCAAGCATTATATAGAAATAGCAGTTGTCTCTGTCCACTGACAGGGCCCTGGCAGTTCAGGTCTTATGAGGAGCCTGCCCCTTGTCCGTACGCCATGTAGCCCAGCTGGAGCCACCTCCAGCTCCTTCCTGCCCCTGAAATGATCAGTGTCTCCACTGGGGACAGGCATAGCAGGTCTCAGCCAGCCTTGTCTTCCACATAACTCAGTCAGATCCCTCTGGCTTCTGAATGGCGTTTCTTCTTTGTCATTTTCTTTTACAGGCCTCCTCCAGTCACCAACTTCTGTCTGGTTTCATGGTCTGTTCTATCTGTTAATGGGAATAATATTTTTGGTGAACACTGTTTTGTGTGTGATAATACATAAGAACCTGCAAAGGAACAAAACGTGGATTTTAGAAATTCCTTTGGACTCCGGTTATGGGAAGAAGGTAACTTATCGTTGAGAAGATAGACATTTAGAAGAAGAGCTGAAACAGCGGGAACAAGAACAGCTGCAAGAAAGGGCATTCCAGAAGCTCCAGGAGCAGCAGCAGCAGCTCAGTGGGTGCCCATAAATCAAGGCAGTCCCTACCTCTTCCTCTTTGTGTGACCATTGGGGCACAACCTCCAAAAGTTAAAAGACACTAGAACTGTGAGTCCCATGGCACCTAACCCTTAAATAAAGCAAATAAATGAGCTGACTTCAATGATGATAAACTCAAAAATTTTATAATCGGATGATTTGATGTGAGACCTCCTCTAAAGCAATCTTTAAAAACTAGAAGTCAAGTCTAACCCAATTATCCTATTAAGTATTTTGAGCAATATTCCTGGGGACAGGGTGAAAAGGTAAGTCTTTTGCACATGTACAAAAGATTAAGCCAGAAAGAGACAGAATGAGAGAGAGAGAGAGAGAGAGAGAGAGAGAGAGAGAGAGAGAGAGAGAGAGAGGATATGAGGGATACAAGCAGGAATAGTAGACCAAAAAGGAAACAACTTGCAAATGACTTCTGAGAGACTGTGGAAATGAGAACTCACATCTCTGTGGGGCTCAGGATGGTTACTTGTTACCTTTTTTTCTTTAGCGCACCAGCAGGGAAGGTGTCCATACATCTTTCAGGGATATGAGGGAGTAACTCATGAGAAATGGGCGCATTATTTTTGCCTTTTCATTTGAGGCTTTCTCATAACCTCCATGTCCAGAGATAACCAGGGTTCTTGCTTGTCTGTCCTCATTCCCTGCGCTATGGAAAAGCAGAATGTAACGGCTGCTTTTCCTAATAAATTAAATGCAGAGCTCCAAGCTTGGCACTGCAAGGAGAAGCTTCAAGTAGGGAGGGCCAGTGACATCATCAAGTCCCAATTCTTACCCCCCCAGATTTACTTTATCTTCCTGATTTTCTGGATGAGTACGAACTAGCTTCAAGATACACTGCTCTGACCATGGCCAGTGTGGCTCAGTTGGTCGGAGTGTCATCCTGGGCACGGGACGGTTGCTAGTTTGATTCTCTGTCAGAGCCCACACCTAGCTGGCTGGTTCAATCTCCCGGCGCGAGGCAACCGATCTCACACTGATGTTTCTCTCAAGCCTCTGCCCTCTCCCTTCCTCTCTCTAAAATTAAGATATTCGGCTCTCTCACTTGGGCTCTAGTTTTGGATACAAGATGTTTCCCTGCTACTCCACAGCACAGCTGAGATAAAACTGAAATATGTGAATATGACTTAACTAAAGCTCAGAAAAACACACACACAAAAGGGTATAAACAAACCTAGCAACTTAATTCTAAATTATTTGGTTGAAAAAAATGTAGCCTATCAGCCAAACAAGGGCACATTCCTGCCTCGCCTCCGGTCTGGCTCCACGGGACAAGGCTCACCTCCAACACCCACCACCTGGCAGCACCTTCGAGCAGCTTGGGAAGCGAAGTGGATGGAAGAGCAGCTGGGTCCCCTGCTTCCCTCGCCTGTGGACAACGAGAATGTCCTCTCCCCTTCACTTTCAGAAAAAAAGTACGAGAATTATCATCTCCATAGAAGCCCAACGACTCCGACATTTTTATTAAAGGACATGGTCATATATGATAGCTGAGGTTTCATTGATTGCACGGAAGATTTTGTCTTGTGGACCAGAGAAACAGAAATGAGGACTGCAGGAAAGGCCTGCAGACACTCTGCAGGGACCGTGTGCAGAGGACCAGCCCGAGGAACTGGGAAGGGGCGCCGGAAGTGACAGTCACACGGAGGCAGCGCGCGGCACCCTCACGGGGAGGAGAATTCCAGGGAAAGGGCCCTAGACCTGCTGATGCCGCAGCTTCTAGGGCGTTGGCGGGGCATCAGCAGGGCGGGCAGAGGAAAGCAAAAAAGGAAAGTGCGTGTCCGAGGCCCCTGGTGAGCGGGCCCCACCTCTCGCCGTGGGCGCCGGTGTGAGACGCTGGCTCCGCAGCGGGAGGAAGGAAGCCTCGCGGGAAGCCAAAGGCAACGGCTGCAGCCTCCTGGCCGCGGAGCTGAAACACCCTCCCTAGGCCAGGGCCGGAGGTGGGTGGGAAGGACGGGGGCGGGCGGGGATAGAAAGGGGGGAGGGCCGCTCTGCCTCCTCACCGACCCGGCGGCAGCGCCACCCCGCGGCCGCCTGTAGAGGTTGCAGCCTCGGCCGCCGCCTCGCGCGCGGGGGCTGCTGGGAGGCAGGGAGCGCGCGGGATGAGCGCTCCGCCCGCCCGGACTCCGCGGAACCCCGGCCTGGTGATCGCAGGAAGGGAAGGGGCGCGGGCCCTCGGACCGGGCCCGGGGAGTGACCCGAGAAAGAGGCGGCTTGGAGAGAGCGAGATGGCGGTCAAGTACAGACCGCCTTCCTGCTGTTCTTCCGCCCTCGGAGCCGGGAAGGGACTCGGCTGCCGGAAGCAGCAGGCCCCCGTGCAGGGAGCCTCCAGGCTCTGCAAGGTCTGCTCCGAAATGCATCGGGGAACCCCGGGCCTGCACCCTCAGGGGCCCAAGGCCCATTTTATCCCGACGACAGGAGGTCCCAGGACTGAGAACAGGATCCTGGAGGGGACTGACTGATGCAACTAGGAGGGAGGAGGGTGGGTTTGGGTTTGGGGGAAGGAGGTGAGTTCTTCCTTAGCTGCCAGAATTAGCAGGGCTTGCCAGGGCTTACCAGGGTCTGTTGGACCTACCACGGCTTCATTGGAGGGGCTCTTGGGTCCCCTCCCCAGGGCGCCCAGGCCCAAGTACCACACCCCAGAGTAGACCGTTATGGAGAACAGGCAACTGGTTATGAGGGCGGGTCAGGGGAGGGTAAGGGGTGGGAGGAGGATTTGTTCCTCATGGTCCAGGCCCCCTAGGGAGAGCCCTAAAACTCATTCTATGACCACCGGTGCTTCTACAAGAGTCCATTGGGTTCTTAGCCCCAGGAGGAATCTCCAAAGTGGGATTCCTAAGAGAAGACCCTAAGAGAACTGTATATTAAGCTTTGGCAAGATGCTAAAAAAATAAAATAAAATGCTGGAAGTTGAAAATCTGGGCTGTCTTTTAGGTACAGACTTTGCTAATGCACATTAGCAATAAAGTGTTTACTGCGCTTCCTTTATTCCTCACTCCTTGCTTTGTTTCTAAATATGGGGTCAAAACCCCCAAAGGGTAAGTAAGCAGCTCATCTTCATGCCTTCCCCTTTCATCTCCATATCACACTAAGCACTTACTACTCTTTAACCCTTAGAGAGGATAGGAAATAAATTGTGGAGAGGGAGCATAGGCTAAAGGGAGAGATTCCCAAACATGTTATGTGAGTTAATGGAGGTATAAAGTCTCTAAGAACCACTAGAAAGAATTGGCTTACACATTCTGGAGAAATACATTTCCCAAATGTATTCTCCGATAAGATAATTTAGTTTTGAGGAAGCACTGACATGATCCCCAGGGAAACAGCAATCATCTGGAGTCTGGCTGTGACTTTGAGGCCCACTTCTTCTGGAAGGGCAGAATAAAGCCTTGAAAAGAAGAAATAGGCATTTACAACAGGTTTGCATATTGTGACCTATAACATCTTTTATCATCTTGACCAATTTATATAATATAAATATTGTCTCTCGCCTTAAGTTCTGGTGCTTTTTTAAAAAAGTATTATTTAATCCTCACGTGGGGACATGCTGAAAGAGAGAGAGAGAGAAGGAAACATCAAAGTGAGAGAGAAACATTGATTGGTTGCCTTTCGTAGGCGCCCCAACTGGGGATCAAGCCTGCAACCAGGTATGGGCCCTGACCAGGAATTGCTGGTTCAATTGGTGCATGGGAGGACACTCCAACCAGCTGAGCCACTCGGGCCAGGATTAAGGGTAGATATTTGCCTATCTTTTCAGTTTCTCCTATAGCTATATTTTATTCAGACAGTCTGTTTTCCTTAAGTCAAATTTGATCATTTGTATTTTAAATTAAATATTTTGTTTATATTTGCAAATATATCAAAATATACAGTTTCAGTATTTTCTATATCTAATGCTGCTGTAATGTTTCTCTTTCAGTACTCAATTAACCGAAGGATTAACCCTTTAATTTTCTTTTTAAAGAACCAGATTTTGGGTTAATTGCTTAATTCTATTTTAGGAGCATGGGAAAGTATGATCTATTTTAGAAATTTAGTTTCAAAATTATTTCCCCTAGATTTTAAAAAACATTGTTTCATTTTCTCCTTATATACAGTATCCCCAAATGAGAAGTCTGATATAAATTTGATTCCTATTTCTAAGAATTTTCTCTGGGTGTTTTCTCCTTAACTCTTGTGTTCTGAAAATTATCATTATATCTGTGGTGAAAGTTGTTTTAATCCATCTTTATATGCTCAGCATTTAATGGGACCTTGCAGTCTGAGGATACTGGTATATTGTCGTACTTGAACCTACCACCCTCAGATCAATTTGGTTTGGGCTATCAGTCAACAAACTTTCACTGAGAAGCTTGTTTATCTCTTCTCCCCCTCCCCCCTTTTTAATGTTTTTATTGATTTTTAGAGAGAGAGGAAAGTAGAGGGAGAGAGAGAAGAGAGAAACATCAAGGTGAGAGCAAAACATGGATCTGCTGCCTCCTGCAGGAGCCCCGACCAGGGATGGAACCCGAAACAGGCAACCTTTTAGTGCATGCTCTGAAGGTTGTTTGGTCTGTGGTTTCTCTCACTACGCAGGAAAGGCGACATTTTGGGCCAGGTGATTATTGGTTATGAGGCTGATCCCTGGCAACTAAATGCTAGCACCCACCAAATCAGTGGTTCTCCACCTTGGCTGCACATGAGAATCACCTGGGAATCTTTTTAAAATCCTGATTTCTGGGCCTCATCCTCTGGAAATTGTGTCTTTGTTAACTAATGTTGTGGCTTCACCCCATAACAAAGAAATTTCTGGAGGATGAGGCCCAGAAATGAGGATTCTAAAAAGATTCCCAGGTGACTCTAATGTGCAGCCAAGGTTGAGAACCACCTCAATAGATGCTAACAGTATCCCCCCCTCAAGTGCTGGTAAGCAATCTCTGGCTAATTGCCCAATGTCCCATGGAACGGGGGACAAAATGGCTGGTTGATGTTGGGGTCCAGCCCCAGCAGGTCCAGGGGTTACCCATAGGTGTGGATGGAGTCGGCGAAGAATGAATGACATGGAGGCAGCGTTCAGTTGATCAGCATAGTTGGTTCTCCAGCCAGGTTCTGTGTTTTATTGTCTTATTACATCTGTATTTATACCAGCTGGTTTTAATCCTGTCAATTTCTATTCCAAAGGTTAGGGCGTTTCTGATCTCCATTCCAGGGAGTAAAGATATGTAGCTTAAGCGTGAGTGTTCGTAGTTAAAGTGATTACCCGCCTGGCACTTAGTTAAGGGGTTTTATTCCCTCCCTAACTTCAGGGAAAAATCCCTACCTGGGGAAACCACCTTTCTCAGAGAGGTGACCTTGGTTAAAACACACAGCGCCAAGAAAGGGAGCAAACAACAGTATGCCATATAATACGCCAGGTCCCTGGAAACTTATGCTGTGCAGGTGTTTCTTCCCTGCAGCGACTGTGTCAAGCAGCAAGGATGGACCGGCTTCTGGCAGGTTGAGTTACTAGACAGGAAAGTGGGAGATAGCCAAGTGTGGACTTACTTTGTAGGCCAATAAACTAGAGAATATGGTTTTATTGGATAAAATGAGCTAAAGACAATTAGTAGTAGCTAGAATAAAAACCAGTAGAGTAAATCTTCCTGTCCATACACGCTCGAGAGAGTAAGACCCAGTAAGCTTATGTCAAAACACTTAGGGGAAAAAAAGGAAAAAATCCTACTCCGTGCCTTGTGTACTTAAGCGCCCATTGAGAACCATGGAAACAGGGTCGGTAGAAGGTAAACCTGTTACCACGTAGGGTCCCGCCAGTTACAGGAGAGCCTCAGGACGTTCGTGGTAATCTACGGCCCCAACCTAGCCCTAAGCTCCAATACACACGTGACCGTGGGAACCCCCCGACCACTCCAGGCAACCAGAAGCTTACCAGCCTCGCAACAAGTGCTTACAGCTGCTTCTCCAACAACTGAAGTGGCTCTGAAAAGAGCCTTTGGGGTAAAGTGGTTGTTCTATCGCGTCTCCTGTGCGTTCTTACTTGGAGCTGGTGTACTTGGTGACGGCCTTGGTGCCCTCGGACACGGCGTGCTTGGCCAGCTCGCCGGGCAGCAGCAGGCGCACCGCCGTCTGGATCTCCCGGGACGTGATGGTGGAGCGCTTGTTGTAATGCGCCAGGCGGGACGCCTCGCCGGCGATGCGCTCGAAGATGTCGTTGACGAAGGAGTTCATGATGCCCATCGCCTTGGATGAGATGCCGGTGTCCGGATGAACTTGCTTCAGCACCTTGTACACGTACACGGAGTAGCTCTCCTTACGGCTGCGCTTGCGCTTCTTGCCATCTTTCTTCTGCACTTTGGTCACAGCCTTCTTGGAGCCCTTTTTGGGAGCAGGAGCAGACTTCGCTGGGTCCGGCATCTTCGGAAGGAGGAACCTCTCACGAATTGAACCAACCGCGATTACCAGCGACTTGGTTGTGAGCTACTTATAGGGCCGATATGCAAATGAGACTCGAACAGTACTGCGTTTTCATTGGTTAATTTCCAACAGTGACGTCATAGAGGCAGAGCCCTTGTGAGTAAGACGCTGCTCACGCTCTCTCAGTGGTCATTAGAACTAAAGCCTTGTGAGCCAATCAAAATGTCCTACTTCACCTAACCAGGAAATTGTATCAAGCGGTAGTTTCCAGTTTGGGATCTGTTTTGCTGTTGCTTTTCCCTTTTCTTGTAGTCGTGTGTGGAAGAGATTTGCAGCGCCAGCTGAATACAAGTTAAACTTTCTCTTATTTTTCCATCGTTTCGTCCTGTGCTTTGTGGAAATCGGTTTTTATTTTTGGAATAATACCTTAGCTCACATTAGAACTGCCCCCCCCCCCCCCCCCCGTATTCCCCAGACATTCCCATTCCGGTTTACGCCACCTGTGTTATGCAGTGAAAATACTGAATTAGAAATGGGATTTATGTAGTTTTCAAATACAAAGCAAGGAAAAGGGTTCCTAATTTTTTAAAGAAAACTTGCCTCTACTCCCGCCAGTCCTCGGGATCTTTCACATCTCAGGACTCGGCACAATGTCTCTTAACCCCCCACCTTTTTTTTTTTTTTTTTGACGCGACAAAAGCGTGCATTTAATTCGACGCTTTGCAGATACATGACTACAGCTGTGTTCATGGCTTGTCTTTGGGATGGTCCCAGCTGTTTATTGTTAAAGAAGAAATTAAAATGGAGCCAACAAAATGCAATTAAGGAAAAACAACAACCTTGAGACACAGGGGCCCGACATGCTCTGACTAGGAAGCAGGCAGGCCCCACCTTCCTTTTTAAAAATGAGTTAAAATCCTGGCGAACTACCTGGGAATTGAGCATTTTGCCTAACGTCCGGCACGATTCCAGGAACCAGAACGAGTTGAAAGCTAGCATTGGGAATTACTTATGACCTTCAAAAGGCGCCGCCAATTTGTGTTCAGATTTGTAAAACCACCTCTGAATATATTGTGAACGGCTGGTAGCCGATTCTACCCTTTTTCAAGTTTTTAAGAAGAATGGTGTTGCAGGCTTGAAGTCAACCAGCAATCTCGCCTCTGCTGTTCCGTCTAGTCCTGGTCAGCAGGCCAAAGGATATTAACTGAAAAATACTAGTACACCCTCCGCCCACAACACCGATGTACGATGCGAGATGGCTCAGTGGGAAGATGATACGGTGCTTTTCTAAAGGTGGGCGGCTCTGAAAAGAGCCTTTGAGGCGTCTCCTTAAAGCCGTCCGCTTTAAGCCCGCTCCCCGCGGATGCGGCGGGCCAGCTGGATGTCCTTGGGCAAAATGCTCGATCCCCAGGTAGTTCGCCAGGATTTTAACTCAGAATAACCTTTCCTCTTCGCCTAAATTTAACTCCTCGGGGGAGCCCAGACGACTAGAAAACGACGAAAACAGCTGTGGAATCCGGAAGCCTGGCTTTGGAATCAGAATTCTCTCGGGACTGTGGCAGGTGGTGTCCGTTGAGGGGCGGCGTGGGGCGTGGAGAAGGGGGTGGGGCACGTAGGGAAGAGAAACGGGAGGGGCGGGGACAACCTCGGCTGCGTCCCGCCCGCGCGCTTGAGGTTTTCAATCTGGTCCGATGGTCTTGTATATTAAGGCCTGAGCTGGGCGCACCCGGACCAAGGCTTGTGCTTTTAGATCCCGGTAACCATGTCTGGGAGAGGCAAGGGCGGTAAAGGCTTAGGCAAGGGTGGTGCCAAGCGTCACCGCAAAGTCTTAAGAGACAACATCCAGGGCATCACTAAGCCCGCCATCCGCCGTCTCGCTCGGCGTGGGGGTGTCAAGCGGATCTCGGGCCTCATTTACGAGGAGACGCGAGGGGTGCTGAAGGTGTTCCTGGAGAACGTGATCCGGGACGCCGTCACCTACACGGAGCACGCCAAGCGCAAAACGGTCACCGCCATGGACGTGGTGTATGCCCTGAAGCGACAGGGTCGCACCCTGTATGGCTTCGGAGGTTAGACCTCTGCTGCGGCCTCACGTGCACCAATTCTAAAGGCCCTTTTTAGGGCCACCCATAGAGTCCTAGGAAGAGCTGGACACTCGTTTGGGCAGTTTGGATAACTGCCTTTGCCACTTGCGGTTAAGGGGGTGTGTGTGTGTGTGGGAGGGGGGTAGAGGGGAATGGGCGTTCTGCCTGAAGCACTATCCGCATTTTACTAAGACCTTACAATTTGGTTCTTTTTCTCAATTCTAAACATTGTTCTCCAGGTTATATCATTTATTTACTTTGCGTGTTATTTAGTCACTGGGTCCAGAACAGTATTTGCACGGCAATTCTCTCCTGGTGATTTTTGAGCCTCTTTAATTGGTGCTTCACTTCCCACCTCTGCAATGAAGGGAGTGAGCCCGGTGGCTTTAGGGACCTGAACATAAGCTGGTGTTTTGTGATGCTACACTGCTCTCTTGAAAAGGTGCAAGTGCAAGAGCTCTCGCAAAGTTAAATCCAGTCATCAATCATCCAAATACAGGGTGGGGTGAAAGTAGGGTTTAGTTGTTCGTATAGAAATCAATCCAGTAAGAAAAAATACAATAAGCTTGTGTGCTAAACTGTAAAGCTAATTTCACCGTACCCTGTATGTTACTAGTGCAGTAGTGAAATAATTGGCAGTTGTCTAGCCAGCGTATGAAAATTTTCTTGGTTTCCTGCGTTTTGTTTTTTTTTCAATAAAGAGGCCCCTCGTGGGGATTTGCTGTACCTTGCAAGTTTTAGCTTTTCATTTGTTTGGTACTACATTCAAGAAAACTTGTCAGGGACCTATGAGATACTGTTTTTCAGTGACAATATTGTAAAGATACAGATGCAGAGACAATATGCTGTAAAAGCAAACTAATAACCTTAATGTCTTGAAAGCAAGTCTTCAAGTAACAATTCAGGCATGTGACTTCTGTAGCTTAGAATGAGAGGCCTGTGGGCACATACCCACCATCAATAAAGCACAATTGAATCACTGAGAAGGCAAAAGCTATTTATTCTATGTTAGCACAGTAAAGAATACAGCGTCATTCTCTGTACTACTGCTTCTAAATTTTCTTGATTTGAATTGAAATGTACACCCATACCTCTAATTCTTAAGCCTAAGTTTTGCAGTTATTACATTTTCAAGTAAAGACTTTCTCTGCATTCTATGCTCATAAGTTTACAGCTAAACTTAGCATATATATAGTGAAGAGGAAAAAAACTCAGTTCTCAAAAGAAAAGCCAGCTATTGCTTTATTGGTCTCTACATTTGACTTGTCAAACACTTTGAAGGGGAACTAGGTTTAAAACATGGGGCTTGGCAATGGAGATGTCAGCAAGTCTACTGGCCCCTTAGGAGCTAATTAGAATGGGAAAGAAAAAGAATACATAAAATACATACATACCTACATGCATATATACTTCTATGTGTGGTTAAATACCACATGGCAGCATATTCAGTATTGCTAGAGCCACCTCTCACTGACACCAGAGAGATGTTATCAGTCTCCCCCCAATCCCTCAGTCAGATAGGGCTGTCCCCAACCTCAATCCTTGTCTTCTCATATAAATGACTTTTTCATACGAGAGAACTTGATTGAATTGTGATTAAGCCAGTTTATTAAATCAAGAAACATTATTAAAGAAGCAAATCTATACATCTGGCTTATGAAGCGCCTCCAGGCTCTCAGCTAATCTGAAGAGCAAGTTGGGTGGGAGTCCAAGGGGTTCTATATCCTCCTGTCTGTAGGTCTCAAAATTTCTCTGCTGGTATAGATTAAATTCTCAAGGTCTCATTCTACTTTCTGTGTCCTTCCCAGAATTCATGAGAAGCACCTGGCAATTTTACCTTGCCAATCCTTGAGACTGCTGGCTTCTCTGCTTAGGGCAGTGGTTCTCAACCTTCTGGCCCTTTAAATACAGTTCCTTATGTTGTGATCCAACCATAAAGTTATTTTCGTTGCTACTTCATAACTGTAATGTTGCTACTGTCGTGAATCGTAATGTAAATATCTGATATGCAGGATGTTCTTAGGCGACCCCTGTGAAAGGGTCATTCGACCGCCAAAGGGGTTGCCACCCACAGGTTGAGAACTGTTGGGGTCCAGCCCCAGCGGGCCCAGGGGTTCCCCAAAGGTGTGGACGGAGTCGGTGAAGAAGGAATGACACAAAGACAGCGTTCAGTTGATAAGCATAGCCAGGTTCTCTTTTTATTGCCCTGGTACATCTGTATTTATACCATTTGATCCTATAAGCATGCCTCTATAATCACATCATGGTATGTTTTGGGTAACCTTCTACAATCCCTTGTTTCATTTCCATAGCTTCTTATCTGACCTTTGCCAAAAATCCTGTCTCTATCTAGTTCTGTTGATTTTAATCTTGTCTAGGTTAATTGCTGTGTTCCATTCTAAGAGCTATTCCAAGGTCACTATTCTACTGCTCTACTGATAAGCTATGAGGAAGTGACTGAAGGAGATTTTCCTACCCAGTAAAGGTTATGTCCTCCCAGCCTCGCTGCTTGCCTTTTCTGGGACTGCCCTGTATCGGTGGGTCTCCAGGGGTATAGGCTTTAGTGCTTCCCTGGTGGGCAGACCCCTGGGGATGTGGGCCCAACAAGTCCCAAATTTATTGCCAAGTCTTAGTCCAAGTTCTTCATAAGTAGTACATGGTATTTCTGTAACACTAGGGGGTTTTACTGATTTATTTTCTTCCTTAGTCCTGTTAATCCCTAACTCCAGGGAAAAATCCCCACCTGGGGAAACAACCTTTCTCAGGGAGGTGGTTCTAGTTATAGAGCACATAGTGCTAAAAAAGAGGGAGCAAACATATTAAGAACAGTATGCCATATACGCCAGGTACCTTGAAACATATGCTTTGCAGATGTTTCTTCCCTGCAGCGACTGTGTCAAGCAACAAGGATGGACCGGCCTCCGGCAGAGAACCACTGGCTTAGGGAGTAAAACTGCCCCTTTTTTTCCTCTTTCCCCTTCCCCCTCTATTCCTGCATTCTCTTGTTAGGGAGGCTTTTAATAATTTGCTCTCAAGTGTCTTTGGCTGGGGAAGAGAATGGCTTATTATTTACAAACTGGCTGCAAATTTCCCATACTGTTTGGTCTTAACTTTCCTTTCTCAATTTCCCTATTCCTATTGCCCTGGAATCCTGTAACAGTATGATAAAAAATGTAGACAACAATAAAAATAAAATAGAGTGAAGAAATGTAGACAATAATTACAATAGGAATCTTAATGACACAAGCAACTGCCTGCTGGGAATCTGGGAAGGAGAACATGGCTGTTGAGGTGGGGCTTGTGTCAGGCTTTGAATACAGACATCTGAATATAGACAATGTCTGACATCCTATTGATACACAGTGATGGGGTGGGGGAGGACCACCAGGGGAAGTCAGCGGCAAGAATGACGTTTGTGAAGCTGTCCAGGTGAGAAATAAATCAGAGGACTCAGTGTTCCAGATATTTCATTTAAATTACAATCTCAGTTGCAAGTGATAGCATTTCTATTGCAAATATCACCATTGTCTGATGTGTGTTTTTAACATTAAAAGCAAGGTAGATTTAAAATATCTGATCCTCGCTGACTCTGGAGAACATTAAAGATTGAAAGCGAAATCAAATAGGAGGGGGGGGGGGACGACGACGTGCCCACCGACTAAACTAGTGGTTCTAAGTGTGAGCTTCAATCTAGGAGAACGTTTAAAAAGTATACTCCCCAATGCAGAGCGGGAAGGAGGGGTAGTGCTAGGCACTTATTTCATTTCTCAAAGAGCAAGAGATATCAAGAAGAAACACCAAAAATTGTCAGGAGGACGGGAAAAGGGCCCCTCCAAATTTAGGTTCCTCCTGAGGTCGCTGCTTGGCCTGCAGATGGCTACGTTCTCCCTGTCCCCCCACAGTTGCCCCGCTGTGTTGTCTGTGCCCGGATCCCCTCCACCCCCCCTTTTTTAAATAAATTTTATTGGTTTTTTACACAGAGGAAGGGAGAGGGATAGAGAGTAAGAAACATCGATCAGCTGCCTCCTGCACACCTCCTATTGGGGATGTGTCCGCAACCAAGGTACATGCCCTTGACCAGAATCGAACCTGGGACCCTTAGGTGCGCAGGCCGACGCTCTATCCACTGAACCAAACCGGTTAGGGCCGGATCCCCTCTTTTCATAAGGACACGACTCACGCTGGATCGGGGCCCACCCTAGTGACCCCACTTTCACCTCATCGCCTTTTTGAAGGCCCTGCCTCCAAATGCAGTCACATTCGGAGGAGCCAGGCGGTAGGTCTTGGACGGATGGGCATCCGCAGCAACAAAATGGAGAGTAAACCTGGGCGTTGGGACGACGTCCGCCTCCCCCTCCGGCCCAGGTGCCGCCGCCCTGGCGATGGGCTCGTCCGGCCGTGCGTCGGTCTACTGATGGGAAACAGCTTTTGTTGCCGTTTTCTTTGCTTACTGTTTGGAGCCCGGGATCCTCTTGTTGGGATGAAGCCCGGAGCTTGCGCCCTCTGGGCTCGTATTTGCTCCTCTCCTGGTCTTCCCCCCGCCCCCCGACCTTTTCTCTTCGCCAGTGTAATGCCTGGGCGGGGGGAGCCCACAGACGGCGAGGGGACGAAAACAGCTGTGGAATCCGGAAGCCTGGCCTTGGGATCCGAACTCTCCCGGGACCGTGGCGGATAGTGTCCGCTGGAGGGCGGCCTGAGGGCGGGGGTTGGGGGCGGGGAGAGAAACGGCGGAGGGGCGGGGACCATGGCGGCCGCTCGCGGTTTTCAATCCGGTCCGACGGCCTCGTATATCAGGGAGCCGAGCTCCCCTCCCGGCACGGCGCCCGGTGGGTTCGCCTCGTGGTAGGAGCAGCCATGTCCGGCAGAGGCAAGGGCGGGAAAGGCCTGGGCAAAGGCGGCGCCAAGCGTCACCGCAAAGTCCTGAGAGACAACATCCAGGGCATCACCAAGCCCGCCATCCGCCGCCTCGCTCGGCGCGGGGGTGTCAAGCGGATCTCGGGCCTCATCTACGAGGAGACGCGAGGGGTGCTGAAGGTGTTCCTGGAGAACGTGATCCGGGACGCCGTCACCTACACGGAGCACGCCAAGCGCAAGACGGTCACCGCTATGGACGTGGTGTACGCGCTGAAGCGGCAGGGCCGCACCCTGTACGGGTTCGGCGGCTAAGCCTGTTGCGGGCTCACGCGTGCGGCAACCCTAAAGGTCCTTTTTAGGGCCACCCAGAGAGTCCTTGGGGAGCTGGGCACCTTTAGGACATGGGCACGAGAGCGCCCCCGGAGCCTCCTTTAGGGCAAGGCGTTCTCCAAGCTGCCCCTCTGTTTTAGCAGTGACACGCTTAGACCGGCAATGCCGGGTCCTTTGGTTCCTGCTTGCCGAGCCGGCCCTTCTCCATGCCGGCCTTGCGTTTTGACAACCAGACCGCAGCCTTCCCCGTCCAAGGGGGTCCGCGCAGCTGTATCCGCATTTGGACAATTACTGACCAATCCGCAGGGTCCCGCAGCGGTCGGTGTGCGAGTCCAGCCAATCAGGACAGTGCTGGCATTGTATTATCTGAATGCCCATTTTTACAGGAACGGATAAGTTGGACAGGAATGAAGGGTGGGGGTGGGGTGGAGGCTGAACCTTCTCTGTATATAAGTTAACCATAAAGGACCTCCAGCCTTAACCAGGCTGTCTCCCCTCTCACCCCTTTATAGCAGGGAGGACACTAGAGCTCTGTCACCCATCCCCTTTTTCTTCTAGGTCATCCTTCCTCCTCTTCCTGCCTTTCTGCATGTGCCTCCCTCTCAGCCCCTGACCACACCCCAAGCCTCTACCCCATCCCCAGAAAATTGTCAGCACGGCCGGATGGGGCCTCTTTGGGGCTATAAAAGCAGTTGGTCCTCCCCAGATTATCTGAATTCAGGAACAGACTGGGGACTTCATTCCGAAGGGAATTGGGAAGGAGGTTGGAAATTTTTCAGAAAGAGAGTGACAGGCTCCTCGACTGTGACAGGAGCACGAGGACAGGGAGGCTTCCTGTGAGTCAGCGGGGAGGGGGGGAGGGGGTAGTAGAGGCTGGTAGACGAAAGCAGTGGCCTCTGGGGGTCAGGCAGAGGATATGGCGAGGACGGATACCTGACAGGTGCAACTCAGGGTTCAGGGCCTGCTCAGCTACTTGGCTCGGGGACCTGAGATCCTGGGCAAGTCACGCACCCGAGAGCCTCAGACTGTATCTCCGAAAGGCCCGTGTGGGTCTAGTCCCCGCAAGGTTTGCCTTGAGGTGCCCCCCTGAAGCCACACCTCTGAAGTCACCAGTACTTGCTAACCCCGGGGTCCAGACCCGAGCCAAGAGACGCAAGCCTGCACTGAGGCCTCCCCACGCAGGTACTAAGGGACTGGGCCGAGAGCGAGGGGCGCGCTCTGGAAATTGCGGTGATCCTGAAGCAGGGGGGCCCCGGTCCCTTCACTGCTCTCCCCTTTGCGGGCACGTCGAGAGAGGCACAGGGAGCTTTAGGGAAAAGTGGAGAAACCACGTGTGTGCAGAGCAGCCGGACACAGGTGGAAGCCTTCAGGGCCTCCTTGGCGGTGGGTGTGCGGGGAGCCTCGCTCTGCGGACCTGGTCCGTTGCGAACCCAGCTCCCAAGTGGCCCACAGGCCGTGTCCACACAGGCTTCGCCCCGCGCCCACCTAGGGCCGGGGATTTGCTAAAAGGAGCACAGCCCTGGGGACAGAGGGGGCGACGTTTCCGTCCCCAGGCCGAGAGCCGCATCGGGTGAGAAGGCCATTTCGGGAGGGGGCGCGCGTCACCGAGCTGCCCGGAGGCCTCCCGGGTGCGCTCTGGGTCGTGAGTGCTCCCGGCGAGACCGCCCACGAGAGCGCCAGGAGGCACGGCTGTCCGAGGAGCGGCCATGTTTCGGGTGCACACTTCGAGGCGGCCGAGTGCCATCGCCGATGGCGACCGGCAGAAGGGACTAACTAGGCCTGAACGCCAGGAGCTTACCACCCACCCTCCGTGCCGCCCCTCCCACGGGTACACGGAGGCCCAAGCGCTACAGCTTCTCAGTGCAGTTGTGGGTGGCTCTGAAAAGAGCCTTTGGGTGCGATGGAACCTGGGGCCGAGCGCGCACTTCTTCCTTAGGCCCGCTCCCCGCGGATGCGGCGGGCCAGCTGGATGTCCTTGGGCATGATGGTGACGCGCTTGGCGTGGATGGCGCACAGGTTGGTGTCCTCGAACAGCCCCACCAGGTAGGCCTCGCTCGCCTCCTGCAGCGCCATGACGGCCGAGCTCTGGAAGCGCAGGTCGGTCTTGAAGTCCTGCGCGATCTCGCGCACCAGGCGCTGGAAGGGCAGCTTGCGGATCAGCAGCTCGGTCGACTTCTGGTAGCGCCGGATCTCGCGCAGGGCCACGGTGCCCGGCCGGTAGCGGTGCGGCTTCTTCACGCCGCCCGTGGCCGGCGCGCTCTTGCGGGCCGCCTTGGTGGCCAGCTGCTTGCGCGGAGCCTTGCCACCGGTCGACTTCCGGGCGGTCTGCTTCGTACGGGCCATGGCGATGCGAGGCGCAACCTGCACGACACGAAGGCGGGAGCGGTAGCGAGCTCCCGGGCCGCCGCAGCCGCCTTTATAGCCACAGTCCTTTCCCGATTGGGCGGGACGGTCAAGTTGAAAGTCCCGCGCCGGCTGTTCATTGGCTGTGACGTCACCCGCCCCGGCGTGCCCGATTGGCTGGGGCAGAATCTGCCCTGCCCCCACCCCATCGCCTCACTTTCTACTCTCGGGGTTGCCAACAGCTTTTTCTACCTGGTTTTTCCTTTCTTTCAGGCCGAGTCCTTTTTCTTTTTAAAACCTCAACTGTCAGGACGCCCCTCCGTAGCCCTTCACTCCCTAAGACACGCTATCCGCAATGCCCTCTTCCTTTCCACGCCGGAGTCGAGCTTCCATCTTCCTTCTGCCCCCTCCGCGGCCCCGCGGCCCCCCGGCCCCCCCCTACCCCCCCGCCGCCGGAGGCCCCTTTGTCAATCTGAAGGACCGCTTTTCCCGCCCTTCGGACCGGAAAATTGTCCGCCCCCCCCCCAGGCACAAGACCCCACCCCCGAAAGCCCTAACCCCCGAAAGCCCTAACCCCCGCCGGGAAGGCGTCCTCTCGCTTGGAAAACAACAACAGGGAACCTTTAGATAGTCGGCTCAGTTAGGCCAAGCTCCAGGTTCGCCAGAGTCCCGAAAACGGGTCGATCCGCCCTCCTACCGACTGGGGTGGGGTGTGTCGTGTCAGCGAATGTCCCCTCCCTACTGGGCCTCCCTACAAGTGCTGAGCATAGGTCTCGGGGGTGAGGTAAATTGCGCGCCGGGGGTCGCCTCTCAGAGGCGTTGTTGTAACCGAGGCGCCCGAGAGGCTCGTTACCCTCACCTGCCGTGATCGTGTCCTTAGGGTTTACGGCCCGGCCCATCCCATCCCATCCCATGCCATGCCATCCCGCCCCGCCTAGTGTAGGTGGCGAAGTGCTCGAGGCGTGAGCAGGGAGGGGCGGTTGGGAGGCGAAGGCAAATGGCTGGCCCTGCCAGCCCTGCGCATGCGGGTAGGGTTAGCACTTTCTACTGCGGGCGTCGGGACGGAGGAGACTGGGTACGATAATAACAGCTCTTTTACTTGAAAGAGTGGGTGGCTCTGAAAAGAGCCTTTTGATTTCACAGGTGCCCCTTTCGTAACGGGGGGCTGGGTGGGCGCCGGACGCACGGCCTCACTTGCCCTTCGCCTTGTGGTGGCTCTCCGTCTTCTTGGGGAGCAACACGGCCTGGATGTTGGGCAAAACGCCGCCCTGGGCGATGGTGACCTTGCCCAGCAGCTTGTTGAGCTCCTCGTCGTTGCGGATGGCCAGCTGCAGGTGACGGGGGATGATGCGCGTCTTCTTGTTGTCTCGGGCCGCGTTGCCCGCCAGCTCCAGGATCTCGGCCGTCAGGTACTCCAGCACCGCCGCCATGTACACCGGCGCGCCGGCTCCCACCCGCTCGGCGTAGTTGCCCTTGCGCAGGAGACGGTGCACACGCCCCACCGGGAACTGGAGACCGGCGCGGGAAGAGCGGGACTTGGCCTTAGCGCGGGCCTTGCCTCCCTGTTTGCCACGACCAGACATGACGGCGACACAAGTACTGCGAGCAGCTCCCGACTGACGACCGAGAAAGTCGCCCTAAACGGCTCCCTTTCACCTTTTTATAGGCAGAACGGCGATTGTTCACCGAGCACTCTGATTGGCTAACGCACAGCTTTGTCCTGATGGCCAATAGGAGAGCGCAGGCAGAATACACTTATTTGCATACTCTCGCCCCCACCCCAAAACGAGCGCCACTGAAAGCCCGCCAATCACAACGCGGCGTACTCGGGACCTTAATTTGCATACAGCCTCTATAAGTACCGAGCCGCTTCCGGTAGCCCCGGTTCCGCTGTTGTCTTTGCGTGCCTGGTCTTTTTTCTGCCGCTGGTGCTTCCCGCTATGCCTGAGCCGGCCAAGTCCGCTCCCGCGCCCAAGAAGGGCTCGAAGAAAGCGGTCACCAAGGCCCAGAAGAAGGATGGCAAGAAGCGCAAGCGCAGCCGCAAGGAGAGCTACTCCATCTACGTGTACAAGGTGCTCAAGCAGGTCCACCCCGACACCGGCATCTCGTCCAAGGCCATGGGCATCATGAACTCCTTCGTCAACGACATCTTCGAGCGCATCGCCGGCGAGGCGTCGCGCCTGGCGCATTACAACAAGCGCTCCACCATCACGTCCCGGGAGATCCAGACGGCCGTGCGCCTGCTGCTGCCCGGCGAGCTGGCCAAGCACGCCGTGTCCGAGGGCACCAAGGCCGTCACCAAGTACACCAGCTCCAAGTGAGTCCCGCCCGGGACGCGGCGCTCGCAAGAGTCGTCGGACGCATGGGCCCTCCCACCCCCCCCAAAGGCTCTTTTCAGAGCCACCTACCTTCTCAGTGAAAGAGCTTGTCACGTCTCTCACCCCTAGCCTAGCCAGTCCCCGCCTGAAGCCCTCTTCTTTATTGCCAAGTACGTAAGCTAAGGCAGCATCTTAAGACCAAGACCTTCCTGAAGCAGGTTTCTCTGTCTGAAGCTCTTGGGCAAGAAAGGGAGGGCCAAAGTTTGGGTCCTTCGTTAATAAACAACTGAGTATCAGTGTCCCAAAAAGCAGCTACAGGGTGACAGACGTTTGGTCCCTCGAGTGTTGAGGCTCCTTGTAATTATCCAAACGAAATAGCGAGTTTCCCGGTAGGAATATTACATGACGAGTTTTGCAGTTAAGGGAGAGGGGTTAGATTTCTAAAGCCTGACCCTCGCTCTGCTGTTGGTGATGGCACCCTTTCTGGGACCGTTTGGAATCACTATGAACGTGTTGTTGTTTCCATAGGAGTAACTTCGCTTTAGTCCAGTACTTAAGTAAAATGCCCTACCCAATTTTAATTTCCACCTCAGGCTTCAAAAGGCAGAATAGTCTAAGTAAATGTTACTGGGTATCCCTAGACTAGGCTACTCACCCAAGTCACCGTTTCCTCTAATGACTTTAGCAGGCTCTTAATGTAAAGCGATGCCATTCAGACTTCTCGGTCTGTATGCTCACCCTCAAACAGGTAAGCTTTTTCAACACAAAAGAGTGACAGATAGCCCTAGCAGGTTGGGCTCGGTGGATAGAGCTTGGGCCTACAGATTGAAGGGTCCTGGGCTCAATTCCGGTCAAGGGCATGTACGTACCTCGGTTGCAGGCTGGGTCCCTGCCCTGGTCGGGGTGAGTAGGGAGGCAGGCAATGGATGTGTCTCTCTCATATGCATGTGTCTCTCTGTCTCTCCTCCTAGTGAATGGCATTGAGAGTATGGGCATATCTAGTCTCTGTCCTACAGGGTCAGACCGCTAAATTTATCTTCCTTATTATTCAAGCAAGCTAGAAAGCAAAGTTATTTATTAGAATACTAGGGGCCCCGTGCACGAAATTCGTGCACTGGTGTGTGTGTGTGGGGGGGGGGGCGTGTCCCTCAGCCCAGCCTGCCCCCTCTCACATACTGGGAGCCCTCAGGCGTTGACCCCCATCACCCTCCAATCACAGGATCGGCCCCTTGCCCAGGCCTGACGCCTCCGCCAGAGGTATCAGGCTTGGACAGGGGAACCCCATCTCCCCCCAATCACTGGCTCTGACCCCCGCCCAGGCCTGAGGCCTCTGGCCCAGGAATTATGCCTGGGCAGGGGACCCCCATCTCCCTCTGATCGCTTGCTCCACCCCCCCGCCCAAGCCTGACGCCTCTGACCCAGGCTTCAGGCCTGGGCAAGGGGACCATCATATCCCCCCAATCCCTGGCTCCGCCCCCCACCCAGGCCTGATGCCTGGGCCAGAGGAGTTGACCCTCATCACCCTCCGATCACCAATCACCGGATCGGCCCCTTGACCAGGCCTGAGGCCTCCCGCAGAGGTGTCAGGCCTGGGCAGGGGACCCCCAGCTCCTCGCGGTTGCAGGCTCCGCTCCTGCCCCTGCAGGACGCCTCTGGCTGAGGCATCCGGCCAGGGCAGCGGGGACCCGCAGCTGCAGCGGCCCGGCGATCGTGGGCTTCGCTTTAGGCCCAGGCAAGGGACCCCCTAGCTCCTGGGACTGCCAGCTTCGACCGTGCCCAGCTCCCATCGCTGGCTCCACCCCTACTTCCTGCTATCACTGGCCAGGGCGGAAAAGGCGCCTGATTCTGTGATCATGGCTGGGGGGCAGGGCAAAGCTGGCCCTGGGGCCCTGGGGCCCAGCTCTTAGCTCCCCCCTGGGTTTCCGATCACTGTCAGTGGCAGGGGGCTTCTTCCTGCTTTCCCTTTCGCCTCCCTGCATCTTGCCTACATATTTAAATTAACCGCCATCTTGTTGGCAATTAACTGCCAATCTTAGTTGGCAGTTAATTTGCATATAGCCCTGATTAGCCAATGAAAAGGGTAGGGTCGTACGCCAATTACCATTTTTCTCTTTTATTAGTGTAGATGAGGCCGTCTAAAAAATAGCAGAGAATTCCAAACAGTAGTTTTACAAGACAGGGGTTAGCCTTCTCACCAGCTGTTCCTCATCCTCGATGCCTAGAAACTTTTCTGCCGTGTCCCCATTCTTGATGGCCAGCATGAGAGGCACAGCCAATACTCTGGTGCGAGGTCTGTGTGGTCATCAATATCTACCTTTATCTTGGCCATCACCACCTGTACTTGCTGCATGGCCACCAGCTCTAATCTTAGACCCAGGATCTTCCATGGACAACACCACTGTGCATGGAAATTTACAACCACTGGTTTCTTACTGTTGACAACACTGTCTTGAAAGTCAGGTCCATCCTGGATGTTAAAACTTGTAGACTCTGGTGATATGAAATGACCTGGTCTGGCTGGATTGTACTGCCAAATCACCAGGACTGTGTGGTGGGGTTTGCAGAGCCTTGGAGATGAGGGGTACCCACTGATCTTGAGGGGTTTGGAACCTTCTGAACGGAGGGATGCACAGCTCAGACCTCCAGCATGTCAAGGCCACTTCTCAGGACGAAAGTTTGTAAGGCTAAGCAGTTTTTAAGGCTAAGCAGTTTTAACAGGTTAAATGCCAAGCCTGTTTTGTCTTCCTTTCCGTTTAGCCCACGATATCTGATTTCACCAATATGCTAGCTGCACCAGTGATCGGCCAGGTCCAGACCGAAAGTATACTGTCGGTCACTGGTTTATGACATGGCCCTTAACGTGTTAACGTTATACTAGGGTGTGCGGGTTAATAGTGTGGATAGCGGTTAATAATGCAGATTGACCCTTTACTGGTTAATAATGCGGATTGACCCTTTACTAGTGCAGAGATTGTAATCAAAGAAAACATGGTAATTTCAAGAGAAACATCAAAAGTGCTTTATTCAAAGTAATGTCCATCGCTAGCTACAGGTAATTTGTGGATTCCGTCCCAATAGAACGTTTCCTGTTTTGAGGCAGACCATTCAGTGACCCAATTTTCCATTTCTTTGTACGTTTTGAAGTGCTGCCCAGAAAGCGTGTGTGCCATTGATCGGAACAAGTGGTCATCCGAAGGAGCATTACAACAAAACAGCATAATATCAAATCGCATATATATCAACATATGTGTAACTCTATCTGTTGAAAAAATCCGCATTCTTAACTGTTGCACCTAGTTTCTGGGCATCAAGTATGAGGACCAGCTGGAGGCGTTCCTGAGGAAGCTGATTGGCTGACAAGCGGTAAAGAACCCTTACTGCTCTTGCCCACTGGGACCCTGATAGAACTTAGTCCTGCACAGGGCAAGCCCTTCCCTCCTCCTCCGTTCTGTGGGACCTCAGAAGGCCCCTGTTGGTGACCAGGCCTCCAAACACGGATCCTCCCGTGCTTCCAAACTGGCTGCCAAGGTGGCCTCCAGAGGAATGGTGCTGCTGCTGATCTGGGGAAAGCAAAGCTGTCTTCCCAACCACTCTTTGTGTCCGCTCCCTCAAGGGTTGCCACAGTTCTCACAAGATGCTTGGAGAGGGCCCTAGGCCAGCCGGCATTTTCTGTTGTGGAAGAAAGGGGCCACGTCCTAAACTGACAAGCTCAGGGAAGGCCTGCATGGCAGTCTTGCAAATTCAGAGACCTAAAGTAACCACAGAGGATGGTCTAAAATTAAACTTTAACTAAAAGCAGTTATAGTGGGTAGTTACATGCTAGGCCAGTATCTTCACTGACAAGGTCAACCTTTATCTTAACTGAGCCTGTCTCTTTGCATGTGCAATAACATATCCCTGAAATGTCTGGGTAACTTGTAACTTCCCTTTTCCCAGACCACTTGGGGCACAAGTTAACGTGCAAAACTCGTCATGTAATATTCCTACCGGGAAACTCGCTATTTCGTTTGGATAATTACAAGGAGCCTCAACACTCGAGGGACCAAACGTCTGTCACCCTGTAGCTGCTTTTTGGGACACTGATACTCAGTTGTTTATTAACGAAGGACCCAAACTTTGGCCCTCCCTTTCTTGCCCAAGAGCTTCAGACAGAGAAACCTGCTTCAGGAAGGTCTTGGTCTTAAGATGCTGCCTTAGCTTACGTACTTGGCAATAAAGAAGAGGGCTTCAGGCGGGGACTGGCTAGGCTAGGGGTGAGAGACGTGACAAGCTCTTTCACTGAGAAGGTAGGTGGCTCTGAAAAGAGCCTTTGGGGGGGGTGGGAGGGCCCATGCGTCCGACGACTCTTGCGAGCGCCGCGTCCCGGGCGGGACTCACTTGGAGCTGGTGTACTTGGTGACGGCCTTGGTGCCCTCGGACACGGCGTGCTTGGCCAGCTCGCCGGGCAGCAGCAGGCGCACGGCCGTCTGGATCTCCCGGGACGTGATGGTGGAGCGCTTGTTGTAATGCGCCAGGCGCGACGCCTCGCCGGCGATGCGCTCGAAGATGTCGTTGACGAAGGAGTTCATGATGCCCATGGCCTTGGACGAGATGCCGGTGTCGGGGTGGACCTGCTTGAGCACCTTGTACACGTAGATGGAGTAGCTCTCCTTGCGGCTGCGCTTGCGCTTCTTGCCATCCTTCTTCTGGGCCTTGGTGACCGCTTTCTTCGAGCCCTTCTTGGGCGCGGGAGCGGACTTGGCCGGCTCAGGCATAGCGGGAAGCACCAGCGGCAGAAAAAAGACCAGGCACGCAAAGACAACAGCGGAACCGGGGCTACCGGAAGCGGCTCGGTACTTATAGAGGCTGTATGCAAATTAAGGTCCCGAGTACGCCGCGTTGTGATTGGCGGGCTTTCAGTGGCGCTCGTTTTGGGGTGGGGGCGAGAGTATGCAAATAAGTGTATTCTGCCTGCGCTCTCCTATTGGCCATCAGGACAAAGCTGTGCGTTAGCCAATCAGAGTGCTCGGTGAACAATCGCCGTTCTGCCTATAAAAAGGTGAAAGGGAGCCGTTTAGGGCGACTTTCTCGGTCGTCAGTCGGGAGCTGCTCGCAGTACTTGTGTCGCCGTCATGTCTGGTCGTGGCAAACAGGGAGGCAAGGCCCGCGCTAAGGCCAAGTCCCGCTCTTCCCGCGCCGGTCTCCAGTTCCCGGTGGGGCGTGTGCACCGTCTCCTGCGCAAGGGCAACTACGCCGAGCGGGTGGGAGCCGGCGCGCCGGTGTACATGGCGGCGGTGCTGGAGTACCTGACGGCCGAGATCCTGGAGCTGGCGGGCAACGCGGCCCGAGACAACAAGAAGACGCGCATCATCCCCCGTCACCTGCAGCTGGCCATCCGCAACGACGAGGAGCTCAACAAGCTGCTGGGCAAGGTCACCATCGCCCAGGGCGGCGTTTTGCCCAACATCCAGGCCGTGTTGCTCCCCAAGAAGACGGAGAGCCACCACAAGGCGAAGGGCAAGTGAGGCCGTGCGTCCGGCGCCCACCCAGCCCCCCGTTACGAAAGGGGCACCTGTGAAATCAAAAGGCTCTTTTCAGAGCCACCCACTCTTTCAAGTAAAAGAGCTGTTATTATCGTACCCAGTCTCCTCCGTCCCGACGCCCGCAGTAGAAAGTGCTAACCCTACCCGCATGCGCAGGGCTGGCAGGGCCAGCCATTTGCCTTCGCCTCCCAACCGCCCCTCCCTGCTCACGCCTCGAGCACTTCGCCACCTACACTAGGCGGGGCGGGATGGCATGGCATGGCATGGGATGGGATGGGCCGGGCCGTAAACCCTAAGGACACGATCACGGCAGGTGAGGGTAACGAGCCTCTCGGGCGCCTCGGTTACAACAACGCCTCTGAGAGGCGACCCCCGGCGCGCAATTTACCTCACCCCCGAGACCTATGCTCAGCACTTGTAGGGAGGCCCAGTAGGGAGGGGACATTCGCTGACACGACACACCCCACCCCAGTCGGTAGGAGGGCGGATCGACCCGTTTTCGGGACTCTGGCGAACCTGGAGCTTGGCCTAACTGAGCCGACTATCTAAAGGTTCCCTGTTGTTGTTTTCCAAGCGAGAGGACGCCTTCCCGGCGGGGGTTAGGGCTTTCGGGGGTTAGGGCTTTCGGGGGTGGGGTCTTGTGCCTGGGGCGGGGGCGGACAATTTTCCGGTCCGAAGGGCGGGAAAAGCGGTCCTTCAGATTGACAAAGGGGCCTCCGGCGGCGGGGGGGTAGGGGGGGGCCGGGGGGCCGCGGGGGGGTAGGGGGGGGCCGGGGGGCCGCGGGGCCGCGGCGGGGGCAGAAGGAAGATGGAAGCTCGACTCCGGCGTGGAAAGGAAGAGGGCATTGCGGATAGCGTGTCTTAGGGAGTGAAGGGCTACGGAGGGGCGTCCTGACAGTTGAGGTTTTAAAAAGAAAAAGGACTCGGCCTGAAAGAAAGGAAAAACCAGGTAGAAAAAGCTGTTGGCAACCCCGAGAGTAGAAAGTGAGGCGATGGGGTGGGGGCAGGGCAGATTCTGCCCCAGCCAATCGGGCACGCCGGGGCGGGTGACGTCACAGCCAATGAACAGCCGGCGCGGGACTTTCAACTTGACCGTCCCGCCCAATCGGGAAAGGACTGTGGCTATAAAGGCGGCTGCGGCGGCCCGGGAGCTCGCTACCGCTCCCGCCTTCGTGTCGTGCAGGTTGCGCCTCGCATCGCCATGGCCCGTACGAAGCAGACCGCCCGGAAGTCGACCGGTGGCAAGGCTCCGCGCAAGCAGCTGGCCACCAAGGCGGCCCGCAAGAGCGCGCCGGCCACGGGCGGCGTGAAGAAGCCGCACCGCTACCGGCCGGGCACCGTGGCCCTGCGCGAGATCCGGCGCTACCAGAAGTCGACCGAGCTGCTGATCCGCAAGCTGCCCTTCCAGCGCCTGGTGCGCGAGATCGCGCAGGACTTCAAGACCGACCTGCGCTTCCAGAGCTCGGCCGTCATGGCGCTGCAGGAGGCGAGCGAGGCCTACCTGGTGGGGCTGTTCGAGGACACCAACCTGTGCGCCATCCACGCCAAGCGCGTCACCATCATGCCCAAGGACATCCAGCTGGCCCGCCGCATCCGCGGGGAGCGGGCCTAAGGAAGAAGTGCGCGCTCGGCCCCAGGTTCCATCGCACCCAAAGGCTCTTTTCAGAGCCACCCACAACTGCACTGAGAAGCTGTAGCGCTTGGGCCTCCGTGTACCCGTGGGAGGGGCGGCACGGAGGGTGGGTGGTAAGCTCCTGGCGTTCAGGCCTAGTTAGTCCCTTCTGCCGGTCGCCATCGGCGATGGCACTCGGCCGCCTCGAAGTGTGCACCCGAAACATGGCCGCTCCTCGGACAGCCGTGCCTCCTGGCGCTCTCGTGGGCGGTCTCGCCGGGAGCACTCACGACCCAGAGCGCACCCGGGAGGCCTCCGGGCAGCTCGGTGACGCGCGCCCCCTCCCGAAATGGCCTTCTCACCCGATGCGGCTCTCGGCCTGGGGACGGAAACGTCGCCCCCTCTGTCCCCAGGGCTGTGCTCCTTTTAGCAAATCCCCGGCCCTAGGTGGGCGCGGGGCGAAGCCTGTGTGGACACGGCCTGTGGGCCACTTGGGAGCTGGGTTCGCAACGGACCAGGTCCGCAGAGCGAGGCTCCCCGCACACCCACCGCCAAGGAGGCCCTGAAGGCTTCCACCTGTGTCCGGCTGCTCTGCACACACGTGGTTTCTCCACTTTTCCCTAAAGCTCCCTGTGCCTCTCTCGACGTGCCCGCAAAGGGGAGAGCAGTGAAGGGACCGGGGCCCCCCTGCTTCAGGATCACCGCAATTTCCAGAGCGCGCCCCTCGCTCTCGGCCCAGTCCCTTAGTACCTGCGTGGGGAGGCCTCAGTGCAGGCTTGCGTCTCTTGGCTCGGGTCTGGACCCCGGGGTTAGCAAGTACTGGTGACTTCAGAGGTGTGGCTTCAGGGGGGCACCTCAAGGCAAACCTTGCGGGGACTAGACCCACACGGGCCTTTCGGAGATACAGTCTGAGGCTCTCGGGTGCGTGACTTGCCCAGGATCTCAGGTCCCCGAGCCAAGTAGCTGAGCAGGCCCTGAACCCTGAGTTGCACCTGTCAGGTATCCGTCCTCGCCATATCCTCTGCCTGACCCCCAGAGGCCACTGCTTTCGTCTACCAGCCTCTACTACCCCCTCCCCCCCTCCCCGCTGACTCACAGGAAGCCTCCCCGTCCTCGCGCTCCTGTCACAGTCAAGGCCTATGCCACCCTCACAGCAGTCTTGCAGACCTTTCCGTTACTGGTCCCGGAGGCCGGCACAAACTTGACTTCATCCATACAAGAGGACGATAGAAGATGTAGGTTTTCACTTTTGATCCTTCCTGTACTTAAGTCACTTCCCTACCCTCAGTGGAGAGTTCAAGGACAATGAAGGACAAGGTAAGTATTGATGCTCTTCCTCTGACAGGTACCTGCGGCATGGCTAGCTTGGCTGCAGGAAAAATCTACCCTGCACCTGGGACTTGACGAACTGAAAACACGTCTTCCTTCAGACCGAACTCCGCCTAGGCGTGGCAGGGGCTGGCGCCCGAGCCAGCGTAGAAGCTATTGTGGCCCTGTTGACGCCTGCGCTTCCTTGGCAGGGGACTTGGCCTTTGGGTTCACACCCTCTCCTGGTCGTCCTCCTGACCCTTCTCCAGGTCCCCGTCCCAGCCTTCTCCTCTTTCTCCGCGGGGCCCATCCATATCCTGGCCTTTATCTTTCCCTGCTTTCCCTATCTCTGCCTCTGGCAAGTGCTCCCAAACCGGTATCTCCTGCTCAGACCCCTGTCCTGAACTTCACACCAATGTTTTCCTAACTGCCTTGTGCCTAGGTCCTTCTGGATGGATAATGGCTTATCTCCAAAACGGCACCATCTTGCTTCCTTCCCCAGGCTACTTTTCACACCTCTCGTGGTCATGTCATGAAAGACACCTTCGGCTCCCCACCCCCAGCCCCCAAGCTGTTTCAGGGCACAAGTTCCTTCCTCCTGGCCTTTGTCCAAGTCTCAGGAGTCAGCAAATGTTCAATCAAATCTACTTTCTGTCTCCCTCCCTGTTTCCCTCCATGGTCTCGGCCTTAACCGATGCCTTCACCAGCTCTGAGTATTCAGGCTAGTAGACTCTGCCCGGCCACGAAGCTTCCACTCTTTGAGCCTGTCACTCTCTTGCTGAAAAACTTCCCACCTCCTTCCCAATGCCCTTCGGAATGAAGTCGCCTTCGTTTGCACCGCCGTTCAGAGCACTGGTGGGTAAGGTCCACTAGGCGCTCTGCACCCAGACAAACGGGAATTTGAATCCCGGTCTTGTCCAGACAACAGAACAGGTAGGTGGCTGTCTCCCAGCAAATGAATCTCTGCAGGCCTCACCTTTCCCCACTTGTAAAGCGGGGGGAGGAGCACCTTGCTAATGGTGCTGGCGGACATATCCAGGGATGCTTCTTAACAAGTGCCTGGCATGCTCTCTGGTCCACGATAAGCATTCAATTCGTTTCAGCAATCCCATTAATAGCTGCCTTTTAATCCCATTAAAAGGCAACGAAAAAATTAACCTTAATATACATCTGCTTCCTGGGAGTTCTCAGAGCCTGCCCCGGATTCGGGTGTTCTGCCAGCTGAACCCAGTAGTTTCTAGCCCCACAGGACATCTGCGACCCCCAAGTGTAAGGTGTCTTCACACATTTCTGTTTCTTCCGTGTGGAAGGCCCACCCCCTTTTCTAGAGCCCTGGGGGCCCCTGCTCTTCAAGATCCGGCCCCTTCCCTTTCTCCCCCTCACCCTCATCCGGGAGGAACTTCCAGGGGCGGGGTCACAGTGCCCGTGGGCAGGGCGTCTGGAAAGCCCCGGGAATGGCCACAGTCCCAGGTTCAGCCTGCTCCTGATGAGGTTAACTGACAAGAGTTCCCTGAGCTGCACCCCCACCAGCGTCCCCAGTCTGTTCCTGAATTCAGATAATCTGGGGAGGACCATCTGCTTTTATAGCCCCAAAGAGGCCCCGTCCGGCCGTGCTGACAATTTCCTGGGGATGGGGTAGAGGCTTGGGGTGTGGTCAGGGGCTGAGAGGGAGGCACATACAGAAAGGCAGGAAGAGGCGGAAGGATGGCACGGAAGAAAAAGGGGATGGGTGACAGAGCTCTAGGGTCCTCCCTGCTATAAAGGGGTGAGGGGGGAGACAGCCTGGTTGAGGCTGGAGGTCCTTTATGGTTAACTTATATACAGAGAAGGTTCAGCCTCCACCCCACCCCCACCCTTCATTCCTGTCTCCAACGGGTCCGTTCCTGTAAAAATGGGCTTTCAGATAATGCAATGCCAGCACTGTCCTGATTGGCTGGACTCGCACACCGACCGCTGCGGGACCCTGCGGATGGGTCAGTAATTGTCCAAATGCGGACACAGCTGCGCGGCCCCCCCTGGACCGGGAAGGCTGCGGTCTGGTTGTCAAAACGCAAGGCCGGCATGGAGAAGGGCCGGCTCGGCAAGCAGGAACAAAAGCACTCGGCATTGCCGGTCTAAGCGTGTCACTGCTAAAACAGAGGGGCAGCTTGGGAACGCCTTGCCCTAAAGGAGGCTC